CATGTTGCATCCAAACAATAATCAAGTTTTCACACCTCTCTTGCTTTCAAGCAAACTCCTTTCTGCCATATCCTATCTTCCTCCATACACTAGCCACCATCCCAAATAAAATTTGTAGACCAAATCACCTTTCATCGCGATTCCCAAGCCACTCTAAACTTTCTCAAGGCACGCAGCTATCCTGCCACGGAATCTATATGCTAATCTGCCACTCTAAGCAACTTCTCGACATCTGTTTTTCATACTTGACCTGCTAGCAATTCAACCATCACGAGACAACTTCCTGCCATGTCCTTCCTCATACTCCGCTGCCCAAATGATGCCTCAAATCACATCCATATATGTAGCACCGGAAATAATGAATTTCTACCAACTCTAAACTTCCTAGAAGATCATCTTTCTCGAACCATCAATACTAGAAACACCAATTTGATTCTGAAACTGCTATATGCCACCATCTTTGACAACCTTCCCCGAAGGCAAATCAAGAAGACCATAACATCGGTGAACCTTAATGCGTTCAGCAAGGACGATGACACCACACAAGTGAGAATTCCATCGCGCTCAAAAATATCAAGTCTCATTACTCCATCAACCAAAGCCTGAACATCTATAGTCCAATTGCCTTTCCTTCGCTGGAATTAATTGTCGAACCTCTAAACCATGCACTGAGAAATCCTCATTTCGAGTCATTCACTGCCTCGACACATAAATAAGCACCCTATCATTACACCAACACTGTGGGATAACAATGCATGAACATCATAATAATCTATGCATAGCCTCGAAACCTTAGTAAATACAAATACTGGGCTAAAACGATTGAACACCCTTCTGCAAGGCGACGATAATAGCCTGCCCGAATACGCAGGGAGAAACATCCTGCACCACGTATGTAGTACCACTACAACTCCTCGATTCCCAATTGACAATAAGCGCCCTACGTCGCGTAAGATTAAGTAGGAAGGAAATAAAGGAACAAGCCTCAATGGAATCAAACTGCACGATGAGGAAATCAAGAAGGGAAGTGCTCATAACAGCCCTGTAGCCTCTCGAAGATAAGTACATGCGTCTCTGTACCGATCCGCAAGACTCTACTAGACTTGCTCATGACTCATGAGACCCAAGTGAACCTAACCCTCTCGAAGGCAAGCCAACGATAAATTATCAACTTAATTACTCATTTTAGTATTTTGAAATCATAATTTTCCTTAATTAAATAGTATGAAATAGAATTTACAGGTTAAATGATAATATTTACACGAACTATAATAACGAACAACACGTAGGAACCCGCAAAATCCGATGTCACGAGTGCATGAGCATTTTCTATGGAGGACGATAATAATACAATGTCTGTCCAGAATATAAATAAGACTAGATAAAATAAATAGTATGATGGGAACTCGGTGGACTGCGATGCGTAGCCTGAATTGCAGCTCACATAAAGTTTTCTCAACAGATGCGCCTACGTACCAAGATGATCACCACATGAACATGTCAGATCCTGCACATTTAGTGCATAAGTGCAGCATGAGTATGTAAATCAACGTGTACCGAGTAAGTATCTAGCCTAACCCCGGAGAAGTAGTGACGATGGGTCGACATCGACACTTACTAGAGATCCAATAAAATAATATAATAAAAATTCATAACAGATATGAAGGGCACACCAATAGTGGGGTAAATCTGTAAATTTCATAATCTTCCAAATATTTCTTTTAAAGTACAAATTTCTCGATCTTATATTCTACCTTTATCTCGTGAATATTCGGACTACTAGCGATATAATGCACGATTCTGCCGAGGTCGTTCGGCCAGATCTAGAATAAAGTGTACACTGCCGAGGGTCGAGCGGCACGAACCATAGATGCATCTATTATACTGCCGATGCGTTCGGCCCGCTCCACAAGAAAGGAAGAAAGTTACCGAATTACGAGACACGTATTTACAATACAGTACATGAGCACATAACAAATATAATCTTTACCCTTTCTAAAATAACTCATCCACAACTCAAAGTGTTAAGGCTCGACCTAGTATACATATATTTATTCCTAAATCAATTTCAATTATAACTTCCATTAATTAAGCCAGCAGAATGAGTTCAAATAATTCAAATATTACATGATAAGATCCTAAGTCTACCCGGACATAAACATGCTTTAGCTATGTATGGACTCTCATCACCTCGTGCATACGTAGCACCCAATACTAGTTGCACATAATAATACATATCACCTAGGGGTCGTTTCCCTCTCACATAGTTAGACATGACATTTACCTCACTCCGAAGTTTTATAACCGGCTCCAACGCCTCTCTAACTCTTCAATTCAAGACAAACGATCCAAAACTAGTCAAACAATATGCAACTTAGTCAAAAATATACACCAATGCTTATAATTAATCAATTCCTAATAATCCTCAACTCCGCTCTAAAAGTCAATAAAGTTAACTCTCGGCCATACGTGCCCGGATTCCAAAACTTTTCGAAGATAAAAATTACCCATAACACTACGAACTCAAATATATAATTTGTTCCTAATTCCATGTCCAAATTCGTGGTAAAAATCCAAAAATACCAATTTCTAGGTTTTTCACCAAAATCCCAAATTTCTTAATATTCTCATGCTTAAATCCATATATAAACCATGTATTTAACTCACAATGGGAGTAAATCACTTAACATATTATAGATGATGAAGATGGCACACCAAAATTGCTCCAAAATCGGCTCCCATGGACGAAACGAAGTGAAAATGGGCCAAAATTCTGTTTTAAAATAACACACTGCCTAAGGGCTTTTCGCATCTTCGGTCCGTCGCACTTTCCGCTTCTGCAATCGATCCGTCGCAGGTGCGACTCCGCTTCTGCGGTCCACTTACCCTCTTCTGTGACCCCTGCCTCAATTATGCCTGGCTGCTTCTGCGAAGCCCATCTCGCTTCTACGAGTTCGTACCTATGAGCAAAATTTCGCAGGTGAGAATGCACTAGAAGGCAGAATTCCAGCAAATTTCTTCAAGTCCAAATTTGTTCTGTTATCTATCCGGAATCCACTCGAGGCCCTCGAGACCTTGACCACTTATACCAAAGCGTCCCGAAACACATTATGAACTTAGTCGGGGCCTCAAATCACACCAAATAATATCGAAACTACGAATCAACGATCGAAATCCTTCTTTAAGCTTTCAAACTTTCAAACTTTGACGAATGAGTCAGATTCATGTCAAAACATTCTGGAATAGACCAAACTTTGCAGATAAGTCATAAATCACAATACGAACCTTTTCCAAGGTTCGGAATCCCGAACGGACATCGATAACACCATATCCCACTTCAAACCCAACTTAGGAAATTCTTAAACCTTAAAAATGTCAACCTTCCATAATAAGCATCGAAATGCTCCCGGGTGATCCGATACTCAACCCGAACATACTCCCAAGTCCGAAATATTCATACGAACCTATTGGAACCTTCAAATCCCGATTCTGAGATATTTTTCTTAAAACTCAAACCTTAGTCAATTCTTCCAACTTAGAGCTTCCGAAATTAGAATTTTTCTTTCCAAATCAACTTCGAGCTTCCCAAAATTCAATTTTGACCACACGCACAAGTCATAATACCTTAAGTGAATCTACTCAAGGCCTCAAACTGCTGAACGACGCACTAGAACTCAAAACGACCGGTCGAGTTGTTACAATTCCTCGCCTAGTTTTATTGATCGGATTTATATTGTTGCTTGGTGAGGAAGAGAGAAAAATACGAGGGGTGTTGCAGTGCCTTATTTGCATTCATTAGAATATATTGAGAGATTTGAGAGTAAAAGCACGAAGGGTGACGTCGTGCCATTATATTCATGATACTACACGATGAGGAGAAGCGTTAAATCATGAAGGGTAACGTTGTGCTATTACATTCATGATGCTACATGGCGAGGATGAGAGTTAAATCATGAAGGGTGATGTCGTGCCATTATATTCATGATATTACATGGTGAGGACGAGAGTAAAAACACGAAGGGTATCGCCGTGCCATTTTCATAACATTAATTTATTTGATTTCCAGATTTGGTAATTTGCTTGGTTTTATTGTTTCTTAATTCGAAAGATGGTATTTCGTGATTTCGTACTTACCGTTTTTATGATAATTTCCCCTTTCGCATGTCCTCTCCTGGTTAATATTCTATCATTATTATTCTTATTTTTGCTGCTTTATATATACTTATACATATTTTTTACGTAGGTGTCTTGTCATAGCCTCGTTCACTACCTCGCCGAGATTAGGCTCGACACTTACAGAATACATTGGGTCAGTTGTACTCATACTACACTTCTGCACTTCTTGCGCAGAAACTGGTATCGGTCCCAACGGTTCTTAGAGGTGCATCGACATTAGATCACTTTCATACGGAGACTCGAGGTAGATCTGCTGGAGTTCACAGACCTTGAAGTCCCCTTTCATTTTCTACTTTTACTGTTTATCTCTTTCGAACAATTGTATTTACTTTAGACTATATTTGTAGACATCTAATTGCTCGGGTACTCGTAACATCGAATTTCTGGGAGTAGTTAGTATCACGTGGTTTATATTTGCACTGTGTTAGATTTGAAATTTATTCCTCGTTGAATATCATTTTTTTTTGTTTTAAACTGTTAAAATTGGTTAATTATTTATTAGACGTTGGCTTGCCTGGTAAGTGGATGTTAGGTGCGATCACGACCCCGAGGTTGGGATTTCGGGTCGTGACATCTTTCATCTCAGGTGACATTTATTTTCCTTTCTTCTTCTTTTCACTTATTTTTCACCAACGCTGAAAGTTTTAAAATTAACCTTACAGTCTAACCTTCTTGTCTCTGAAGGCTTGCAAAGGATGATAATTGAAAAGGAAGCACTTCAATCTGAGTGGAATCAACTTGCCGAACACCTTCCAGTCCTACACGTCATAATTGCTCAAATAGGCTAACTCGAGTCCTGGCTGGAGAAAACGAAGAAAGAAAAAATGGCTCATAATCAAGAATCCACTAAGCTACATGTCGAGCTTGTTGAGTTGAACATTAAGTGGGCCGATTTGCAGGATACAGTTAATTCAACAGACGAGCATGGGTCTGCTTCCATGGAAAGAATCAGCAACTTGGAATATATCTTACATTCCAAGACCGATGAAGTTGTTGAACCCGAAGATAAGAGGGCCAAAATGGAGGAAAGGCTCTGAAAGGTCATGAAACAAGACCGTGAACACACTAGAACTAATACTGACCTGTCTGAGGCCTACAATATTTTAAATATCGAAAACGAGCGACTACAGTCGAAGATTCAAAAACATCAAGCCAGATTCCGAGCTCAAGAGGATTCTTTCTTGATTGAGAAAACTAATGTCATTTACAGTATGAGTGGGAAGTCTTTGGAGGATGTCAAAAATGGCATTGAAAATATAGATGACTATATTGCCAAAGCTCTTTCTTTAGATACAACCTTCTTCAAAAATATTCATGCCCAGCCCACTACTTCATGTTCTTTGGACACTTGCTTCGAGTCCTCAGAAATTGAAGAGGAAGAGGAAGAGGAAGAAGAAGAGGAAGAGGATGATGAAGATGAAAGAGAAGGAGTTGTGCCCTAAAATGGACATCCTTCAAGCCCAAAATATGTAGAAGAAGCTTCACAACCATCAATCTCTGCTAATAAAGTAGATTGAAAGTTTTTACAAAGTTATTTTTAATAACTCTTGTAACTACTAATTTTAGCAACTATTCGAACCTCTTTTTTGGGCCCAAAATTTTGAAATGAGAAATATCTTTCTTACTAAACTTCTCAGGGTTTTTAGTTAGCAAAAGATATCTTTGTTATCTATGTATTTCTATTGATAAAGTACGAAAATTTTCACATTCAGTTAACTTTAATAGTGGGTATTCATGCTTCCAGTTTTTAATCTTTAACTAGAAAAGTTTCATAAGAGAGAGTCATTATATTTACGGTGCCCTTGAAGAGGACATCTCATGTTCATTTCGGTACTTGCATTTGAAGTTTAAGCAACATTCATATAAGAAAAACACTGTGTCTATTGGACAAGTAATAAGATAAAAATAAAATGACTTTCATTTATTTCTTATATTTTCAAAACTACATTTATATAAGCAAGAAAATTTGTAAATTCGCTAAATTAATGAACTAACAATATATGCAGTTAATTTGTACTTCTTATTTCTATGGGGCTTGACATACGGTACCCAATCCTGACTTGAGGTGATTCATGCCAAATGAACTTTTAAGCTCAAAATATGTTCCTCGGTTTCTGCAGTCCCCGATATTGCTACATTATCGATATTTTACTTGCCTTTTGATGCTTGCACTAACATTTTTAGTATTTTGGTAGGAGTAGGTTCCCCCTAGTATTCGAATGCAAAGTAGGAGGATTCGAACACTAGATTTCTTATTGCCATTAGCAATTCATATTCGTAGTACACTTTATGTTGATGCCTTATTAAAAACCTTGCCAGAAAAATTTACCTGGGATAAAAACTGAACGGAAAAAAAAGTGTGCAGCGCGTACTTTCAGTACAATCGGTGATCTTTAACAATAATATCTTTTGAGATAAGTTAAGTTTTAGCTGCTTCGTAATTTAACTCCATCTTGATTTTTCAATGGATATGAACCTATCGGTTATAGCAGAATTTCATTAAGGTCTTTCCCAATTTGGTCTCAACTTTACGGCATTGACTTCTCGGGTATTATAAGTCACTTTTCGTAAGACCAAGTCGCCGACTTTCAAATAATAAAGATTCGCCCTATGATTATAATACATTTTCATTCTCTCCTTATGTGCCACCATACTTACATAAGCCAAATCCCAGTGTTCCTCAAGTAAATCTACCTTAATCAACATCACTTCATCATTTTCCTGCTTATTTGCGAAAGAGAACCTCATAGTTGGTTCACCAATCTCCACCGGAATCAGAGCTTCTGCACTATATACAAAGGAGAAAGGTGTTTCTCATATGCTCGATTTTGCTGAACTCAATACGTCAATAGGACTCCCGGTAACTCCTCAAGCCACCTGCCTTTTGCATCATCTAATTTCTTTTTGAGGCATTGAATTATCACCTTGTTCGTTGACTCTGTTTGGCCATTAGCACTTTGATTATATGGAGACAACATGATCCTTTAAATCTTCAACCCCTCTAATAATTTTCTGACTTTAGAGCCTATGAATTATAGCCCATTATCACAAGCAATCTCTTTTGGTACTCCAAATCGACAAAGAATATGATCCAAAATGAAATCTATCACCTCTCAATCTCCAACTTTCTTGAAAGCACTTGCTTCAATCCATTTAGTAAAATAATCAGTCACAATCAAAATAAATTTTATCTGTCCGGATCCTTGAGGTAAAGGACCAAGTATATCCATCCCCTATTTCATAAACGGTCACAGTGATACAACTGAATGTAAAGTTCAACCAGTTAATGTACTAACTGAGCATAACATTGACATTTATCATATTTTTGCATAAACGTCTTTGCGTCTTGCTCTATTCAGGGCCAATAGTAACCGACTCCCATTAACTTGAGCGGCAATGAATCTGCTCAGAGTGATTGCAACAAACGCCTTCATGAACTTCTCTTATTACATAATAAGCTTCCGGTGGTCCAAAGCATCGAGGCAACAGGCCCTGAAAATATTTCCAGCATTGTTGCCCATCAATAAGACAATATCGGGAGTTGACGACTAAATTTGACCCTCCCTTTTCAATTAAATTATCTATGCTTAATAATTTACAATAAATGTGATAAAATATTTTCTAATCAATAAAACCTATTTTTGTATAAATATAATAGAAAATTAGTAACTAATAGTGTAAATTAATAGTTTGGTGTTAATTATTTATAAAATATATTACCCTTGCTATTTTGAAACTATTAAAATAACCTCTATATTTTGATACACAAGTTTTACAATTAATTTAACAAATTAATTTTTGACTTTTAATTACATCGCTTATTATTTAAATTCATCTTAAATTAGTTTCATAATTTAGTAAATAAAGTATTTTAATAGATAATTAATTAATTACAGTAATTTATAATGCATTTGATGATTATATTTTTATCATATTTAATTATAATTAATTATGCTTAATTAAGTTAATTTTAAAGGGGTTAAAAGCTTAAAAGGCTCCAATTGTAAACACCTAATTAAATAAAATGTGGCTATTTGTTAAATCAATTTCAGCCCAAAACACAAGCCCAATGTGACCTGACCTGGTCTAGAACTAGCCTCTCTTGTCCATCTTGGCAATCCATGCCAACCCCTGAGGACCAATAGCATCGTGGCACATCCCCCGTCGTATTCACTCATAGAACAAACACAATTGATCTAGCCCATCGATCTATTTCATCGACGGTCCATGTTTATTCTTGTTTTCCCTTTTATTTCAAACCCCACGCCAAACATTATCTCAACAGTTAGATCACACAAATCCAATGGTTCCCCTATTTTCCTAATAACCTATTTTCTAAACCCATACGACCTGAATTATCAGGGTCATTGATCAAATGATTCAATGCCCAAATCTCGTCTTTCATTTTTAACCCAAAGACACCCCTTAACCCTTGTTCATTCTTTCCCAAAATGGCCGCCCTAGTTTCCCTTTTCTCTCTTCCGTCTCTCAAATTCCATCAACCCTAATCAGTCAAAAACCTTGCACCAATTCGTGTAAGGTTACAAATTCAGTCTTCAAATCATCCCCTTTGCTCCTACATCCGCGAACCAAACCGATTTCTCCTATTTTCATCACTAAATTCAAAATTCCCAATCTGAAACCCTAGACCTAAAAGATGTAACTTAAACTCATCTGATTCTCCTATGTTCCGTCGAATCCATGGCATGCATGGCTATATCTTAAACTTCATCATCATTATTCCTTGTCCAGAAGTCAAAACACAGTGACCTAGGGATATTAGCGCTTTGACCAATGGCTTTTCACGCTTCAACGGTCAATTCCTCTTTCTTTTATGCCCGGGTAAATCACCATACTGTTTTTCCCTATGTGTTTCTCTGGTTTAACCTCTATGCTATCATCATCCCGCCTTAGGCACCTTCCACTATATATTTTGAATTTGCTGCAATCCTAAGGCTTCAACAACCACTATAAATAGGAGCTTTCAATGCTCTCACCTAACACGATCTAATAGATGAACATACTTAACCTTACTAGAAAAAAACATTGAAAAGTTTAAGTCTTTGGGCTAAATTTCGAGTTCCATTAGCTTCTCCTAACTTCTCTTTTTCCTCTTTTCATTTATGCACGTGATTAGTTCTTGGTTTTGATTCCTAAACAGCTAAACAAAGAGCTCTTGTTTGGGTTTTGCCCTACAAAAGATCAGTGTACACTGACCCTATCTTTATCTTCGATTATTTTTGTTGTGTTGTGTTTATAATGTTCTCTCTGTTAATCACCTTCGTTTATGATACATATTAGTAGTTTATGACTAACTATTATGTTCTCTTTTCACATTTTGATAACTTGTGATTGTTCTAGAGTATTGTCGATTAGTTTGTGTTAATGAACTTCATGATCTAACTAGATAAATATTTTCTGTAATGAAAAATATAAGTCTTGCTGAACCTTTGTCATCAGCTAAAAGTCCTTTGATGATTCTATGTATGCTTTGTCATCTATAGCTAACCTAATTGAACCATGATTTAGACATTTTTTGATGTATTGTTAAGAGTCTATGTTTGCTACAATATAGTGATCCTCATCCTTGTTCCATGTCACACATTTAACTTACCTACCTTGACTAAATAACCTATTATTGAAACCATGCATGTTCTACATAGTCACGACCCAAATCGGAGGGCAACGACTGGCACCCGGTGCCTACTCAACCGAGCACCACGTACCTTATCCTTTTTTACTATAAGACTCGTCATGACTCATGATACGCCACATCTATATATAATTAACAATATTAGAACTTAACTGAAGTAACTAATTCAAAAAGATTTATATAGATACATAGGGACCGACAAGGCCGTTGACATGTCATACCTAAAACTATACACAAGACACTGTTTGCAAAATCTCTAAGAAAACATGACCATAATATATAAGTCGGGACAAGGTTCCCGACATCCTCATTAAATAAAATAACATATATAGAACGTGACTCGGCAATACTCCAGGAAGAAGTGGAGCTCACCAACCAAAAGCTGATATCTGGAGGCAGCCTACAGTAGAGGGTCCTCACCTCGCCTATCTATACCTGCGTGGCATGAAACACAGCGCCCCGGGAAAAGGGACGTCAGTACGAAGAATGTACCGAGTATGTAAGGCAAAAATAAAATGTAATAAGATACTATCTCGGGGAGGGATAAGAGTCAACTTATAACTTCTGACTTGCCGCTAAGGGCCATAACATATAGCATAAAACCCATCTCATATATATAAATAAAACTACAATATAATAATTCTGATTACATCATTCTTGTGACGTTCACTGCCCAACTGATCAGTGGTAACTATCTGACTGGCCGTAGCGCGGTGGTAAATGCATGACTGCTCGACCGGCCATAGCTCGGTGGTAAATGTGTAACTGCCCAACCGACCGTAGCTCGGT